GTTTTTTATATAGGGCCAAGGTTTTACGATCCTATTCTGCTGCAACTAGTGAAACCAGGCATAAAACACTCTTTCCAATATTCACAATACACTTTTAACTTCATTGTGGGTTTGCAATCTCGTCAGTGCCTTTGGAAATTACAGCACAGGATCCTTTGTTTTGACAAACAAGAATTGTTCCAAATAAACTTGGGATATGACAGCTCTTTGCAGTGTAGTTGTGTGCATAACTCACACACAAATATAGTCAATTCACTTTACAGTATATTCTGTGAACTGCTTTGAAACATCTAGAAGACGTAAAAAGAGCTATATCACATGCAACGATTATCATTTTTTATTATAACTCCAGCCATCACTACATACAACACCTTTGATGCACAGTACAGCCCTATTCCAACAACACATTTACATTTATACAGCCTTTCATGTCAGGCAGACGTCCCAATGTGCTTTTAATCCCATTATAACGTAGTTTGGGGATGGTGGGTCGATAAAATGCTGGTTATTGCTGGTCAGCACTTACACATTCACTGTGTGTGTGCACAGAAAGCCAAACCACTGGTCAGCAAGCGGAAGCCCAAATTACTGATTTCTGAGTCTTCAAGTGCCTATTTTCAGGTACACACATAACAATACCACCAACAACATTACAATTGTAGAGAGCCTTTCACATCAGGAGGGACGTCCCAAGGCGCTGGACAGTCAGTGTTTCGTACCTGAGCTCGGGGTCGGGATTGAGGTGGGTTTAGGAAGCAGGGTCATCAAAAGCACGGTTAAAGAGGAGGATCTGGAGATGAGTCTTGATGGAGGCAAGGGAGGGGGTGAGGCGGAGGGACTGCAGTGGGGGCAGAGTGGCAGAAGGCCCATCCGCCCATAGTGGGGCGGGCGAAGCAGGGGACTTGAAGCAGGCTGGAGCCCGCTGAGCGGAGTGAGCGGGCAGGAGGGAGGGGTTTAGGAGCTCACAGAGGAAGGGGCGAGCAAGGTCTTCGAGGACTTGAAGGTGAGGACCAGGATCTTGAATTATATCCTCTGTGTGATGGGAAGCCAGTGGAGGATGGGGGTGATAGGGTCATGGAGCCTGGTGTGGAAGAGGACACAGGCTGCAGAGTTCTGGATGATTTGAGGCCTATGGAGGGACCAGTTGGGGAGGCCGATAAGCAAGGAGTTTGCATAATCGAGCATCGATGTTATGAATGTGTGTACAAGGGTTTTGGCGGCCTGCGGTGTGAGACAGTGGTGGATCTGGGCGATATTGCGGAGGTGGGGGAAGGCAAAGCGGGTCATGGCAAGGATGTGGGGTAGAAAGGATAGTTGAGGGTCAAATAAGACGTCAAGGTTCCAGACTGATTTGCAAGGTGGAGTGTGCATCCATGGATGGTGCTGCTGTCAGCGCCTGAGGTGTGGAGGTGCTGACGGGAGCCAATCAGGAGGTTCTCGGTCTTCCTAATAACAAAGATCCACAAACAGCCACGAGGTAAGCATTCAACTTATCTGGAGGATTGTTGACCAAGACACTAGGAGAAATCCCCTTCTTTTTCAATCAGTGTCAGGTGATTGTGAAACATCCACCTAAACAAACAGATGTCTAATCTGAATATCTTATCACATTTCATCTGAAAGATTGCACGTTGACAATGCAGCACTAGTGTTACAGGTCAGTCTAGCTCAGTTGGTAGCACTCTTGCTTCAAAGTTTGAAGTCAGTTGTGAGTTTATTAGGATTATTATTTATTTACAGTGCAATCAAGGTTCAATGTGGGTTTGAATCCGCAATCCTCCTGATTCACAGGCAAGAGATAACGTCCTTTCCTTCATAATGAGACTAAATAAATATCACTTTTAACCTCAAATTAAACTTATTAACTTTTTTGTATGCTGTCGTTAAGACGAAAGAATAAAGTACAGCATTTTGAAAATGTGTGCTCTCTCATTTATAGCTAATACTACTGTGAGCATATTTCTAGTGCATTGCTGTGTATGATAGACTGTCAACACAATACTCATTAAAATTCACTCTTATGCTTTCAAGATAAAATAGCAGACAGTTTAACACGTCAAGGGTAGACAATGTTCATGCAAAGTTTATTTACTATCAAATTTGCTTGTTATAAAATCTTGTAGCTGTTTAATTTTACTTTTTTCTCCGATTTGTAATTTTCTCAGTGGAGCTCTCCCACCTCGCCTCACAGTGCGAGATGCTATGTGTCACAGAGTTCTCAGTGATCACTGCCACAGAATGATCACAAAGGATGTGTCAGAAGTGGGATGGGTTAGCTCTAGTAGGCCTCCTTGGACTCATCGACCACCCTTCCCCCTCCACGATAGTGCATCCTGCTATAACATTACACTCCATCCACTGTGAAAAAAAAGTCGCTCTCAAGCAGTGATATCGGAGCATGAGTGACAGGCTGTTCTGGGACTGTAACCTGTAACCATCTGGTTGGCAAGTGCACGCTCCAGTCTGTGCTACCAGGCTGCTATTCTGATAGATGCATTTTTCAAAGAATTTAAAATCATATGGAATGCTTCCCTCTTGCAACATGGAATGAGGAGAAATTTCGTGTGCTTTATCTTTATTAGTACCTTCAATGCTTGCCAACAATTTTCTCTTTTCATCTTGTACATATTTCCAACTAATAAGGTTATATCGGGCAAGTCAGAGGTAATTCTACTGTGGCACCCGACAATGCTACTGAGATTGGGAAACTGTTTCAATCTACATATGCAATCATTGTAGTAATGGCTGAAATGCATAAGAAATATTTACTTCCAATTATATTAATAGTATGTTCTCTGTTGATGTGCCACTTAATTGTGAAATATTGCACAGCTTGCTAAAGAATAAAACATAATTCAGGCATAACAGCAACTTGCATTTATACAGTGCCCTTCACGTAAAGCACTTTAATAATAATGGTAATAATAATTCTTGCATTTGATATAGCACCTTATCACATCATTGAGACATCTCTAATCGCTTCACAGAATATACGGTAAAGTGAATTGACGTATATTTTGTGGGTGAAACATGGTGGGGTAGTGTTAGTCATGCAGTATGATTTGTGTTAGTTAGCAGTAATTTTTTAAGTTTTTTCGTTTTTATCAAAAAGCCAAGTGTGTGTGTGGGTCAAAAATATTTCAGGGAAGTGCAGTTTTGGAGACAATCAGCAGGAACTGACAGAAGCGTGAGTATAATAACTGTGTCTTCCTGAGATTGACTGGTGCGAGCAAAACTTCCATATCTAAGTTAATAGTTTAAACCGGGGTCATGGGAACGCTGCCTTCACTTCCACTAATATAATCCAGTGGGAAAAAAATGTAGGAATTATAGTGCAGACAAAATGGCTTTTAATTCGATTTCACATTTTTGCTTTCGCCCCCCACCCCCACCTCCAACTCAAAAGTTAAGGTCAGAAAAACCATTGACAATCGGAGCCCGTGTATCCGCCAAATGTAAACAAATAAAATTGTGCCTTTAATCCAGATCTGATCCCAAGTAAAACTTTGTGTGAGTGTGTTGTGTGTGCTGGGAGAATGTCTTAGACATAAGACAGACACAACAACAACTTGCATTTACATAGCGCCCTTTACATGAGGCAGTGTCTCGGAGCTCTTGAAGGTGGCTGCTGCTGAGCCGGGGGAGAGGGAGGAGGTGACCGTAAGCACAGCCGAAGAGCAAGGTCTTCAGTCGCAATCTAAAAGAGGACAAGGAGGCGGCAAGGATTGGGGGGTAGAGAGTTCCAAAGCTTTTTTGGTGGGGGGTGGTGGGGGGTGGTGGGGGGCTGAAAGCACGGTCGCTGATGGTGGATCGGAGAGGACGAGAGACAAGCAGGCGGTCGGAGCCAGCCTTGTCACCTTGTTTCTTTTTTTGGGGGTTTAATAAACCATTCCCCCCAAACAAACAACGAACAAACACCAACAACCAAAAAAAAATAATGGATGAACAGGATGCCTCAATCTAACCAAACTGCAACACGCTCGAGCTCTGTGTGTGTGTGTGCGACTCAACTGAAACGTTTGGATTTGCAGTTGAACATTCAGCCTAAACGCTGTGCAGAGACAGACAGAGAGAGGAGAGGAGAAGAGAGAGAGAGAGAGAGAGGACCACACTTGACTGCTCAGTGTCGAAGCGCCACCTCCAGTCAGATTGTGGGCATTGAGACAATCTGAGGAGGTCGCACTCGCTCTGTGTCTAACGATGGGAGTCGTGTGGAGGGGTTGGGGTGAGAGAGCTGACAGGGGTAGAGGGTAGAGACTTAAAGCCACGTCTGGTGCTTGACCACCCCCCCCTCCCCTCCCCTCCAGAGACCCCCACACCCCCACTTCTCCTGGAAGGCTGCAAGTCAGGGGTCTGTCCCTCTCTCTCCCCCTCTCTCTCTCTCTCTGGTTCTGATGGAGCTCTGGACGCAGCTCTAACCGGATGATTGGTGGTGAGAAGGGAAGGGTTAAAAGGGAATCATTTCTCTCTCTCTCTCTCTCTCTCTGTCTCCCCCTTTCTCTCTCTCTCTCTCTCTCTTTCCCTCCATCCACTCCTTTCCCAGAGTGGGAGGAGACGTGAGAAACCATTGGCCACCGGTGAGGTGACGTGTCCTCCGCGTGAAAAAAACACAACCTGATAACTAGTTGAGAGAAGGTGCCACAACTTTGGCCAAAAAAAGAGAGAGAGAGCGAGAGAGAGGAGTGGGAGTGGAAGAGAGAGAGAAGGAGTAGAAGAGAGAGAGAAGGAGTAGAAGAGAGAGAGAAGGAGTAGAAGAGAGAGAGAGAAGGAGTAGAAGAGAGGAACAGAGCCACAGAGAAGAGAGGAGAGGAGAGGAGAGCGTTGTTGGATTGAGATACAAAGTTCTTGGCCAAGAAGAGGAGTGGAAGGAAGGGGTTGGGGAGGGCTCAGCAAAAAGGGTTGCGGGTCTCTGGGGTGGGGGTGGTGGTGGGGGGGGGGGGTGGGCTGTGGGTGGGTGGTGGGTGGGAGGGGGGAGGAGGAGGAGGAGGAGGAGGGAGGGAGGAGTGGGAGTGGGGGGTGGGGGGGGAGAAAGGGGGTGAAGATGGTTCAGGAAAGTGGGAGCGTGGAGGCTGAGGGAGTGCTGTCCAGGGAAGCGACGGACAGCGACGAGAGCGAGTTCATGGCGTGCAGCCCCTCGCCCACCTGCGACGGGGCGGACGAGAGGGACCCGGACTGGTGCAAGACGGCCACCGGGCACATCAAGCGGCCCATGAACGCCTTCATGGTCTGGTCCAAGATCGAGAGGAGGAAGATCATGGAGCAGTCGCCCGACATGCACAACGCCGAGATCTCCAAGCGGTTGGGGAAGCGCTGGAAGATGCTGAAGGACGGCGAGAAGATCCCGTTCATCCGAGAGGCGGAGAGGCTGCGGCTGAAGCACATGGCAGATTACCCCGATTACAAGTACAGACCCCGGAAAAAACCCAAGACCGAGTCGGGCAAACAGCAGCAGCTCCAGGGGCAGCTCCAGGGGCAGCTCCAGGGGCAGAGCCTCCCCCCGGACAAGGGTCACAAGGGCAGCAAAGCCGCCGGGAAACGCTGCGGCGGCCACAGCGGCAAACTCAAACCCCAGAGAGGGCACTGCAAACCGCACGGCGACCCCGAGGACCCGGCGCTGAGCGGCGGCGGCAGCGCCAGGAGCGGGAGCGGGAGCGGGAGGGGCAGCGGAGGGGCTGCTGCCGGGCCGGCGGGGGTCCCGCGGGGGCCGCTGAGCCGCGGACCCAGTGAGGAGGAACTGGAGGAGGAACTGGACGAGGAACTGGAGGAGGAATCGGAGGAGCAGCTTCCAGACGAGGAGGAGGAGGAGAGGCGGAGGCGGGAGCGGGAGCGGGAGGCTGGCGGCCCGGGGCGGGCACTGGCACTGGGACTGGGTCTGGGACTGGGTCGGGGAGTGGGACTGGGACTGGGACTGGGACGGGTCGGGGGCTGTGCGGCCGCAGTGCCCGCCAGCCCGACCCTCAGCTCGGCGGCGGAGTGCAGCGAGGGGGCGAGCATGTACGAGGAGGTGTCCGGCAAGACGCAGGGCAGCAGGAGGGGAGGGGGCGGCGGAGGGGGCGGCATCCGCAGCAACAACAACAACCACAACAGCATCAACAACAACAACAACAGCAGCAACAACAGCCTGAGAGCCGCCTCCCCGAGCAACTCCAGCTCCAGCCGCTCGGTCTCCACCACCTCCAGCCAAGAGGCGGACGACTTGCTGTACGGCTTCAGCATGAACTTGTCCCCCTCCGGGGGTCCGGAGCAGGTGGGCTCCGGGGGTCTGAGTCTGTCGCTGGTGGACAAGGACTTGGACTCGTGCAGCGACGGCAGCTCAGGCTCTCACTTCGAGTTCCCGGACTACTGCACTCCGGAGCTCAGCGAAATGATCGCCGGGGACTGGTTGGAGGCGAACTTTTCCGACCTGGTCTTCACCTATTAACGAGTGCATTCGTTTCTTCTTCTTCTTCCTCTTCTTCTTCTTTTTTTTTTGAAAAAAAATCTCCATTATTATTATTATTATTTTTTTTTCTACCTCTCTCTCCTCTCCTCTCCTCTCCTCTCTCTCCTCTCTCTTCCCCACTCACTCGCACTCGCACTCGCACCCACTCCTTTTTTTTTCTCTCTCTCTGGGCTGCAAAACATTTCAAACCCGACACGAGGAAAAATTGCAGGAGATTGAGTGTCTGAGTGATTGAGATTGAGATCCATGGACTGGTTTGGGCTGTCGGTCGGTTGCAGATGAACTTTTTCCTCACCTTTTCGTGTTTCATCTGTTGATTCGTGGATTTTTTTTTGTTCTCTCTCCTCCTCCTCCTCCTGTGTGTATGTGTGTGTGTGTGTGTGGTGGTGGTGGTGTTGTTGGGAAAATAACTCAATCGACTTCAAAGCGGATTAGAGAAGAGAAAAAGATGTTTGAATGAAAATCAAACGGGATAAAGTGTGTGTGTGTGTGTGTGGGGGGGGGGGGGGGGGGGGGGGATTGCACCCACAAGACATAAACATTAACGAGAAAGAAAACTAAATACTAAACAACTCCCCCTCCCTCCCTCCTCCCCTCCACACACACACACACACCAGATCTTTTTGTTGGATGGATTTTGACACTAAATAAGTGTGTGTGTGTGTATGTGTGTGTGTGGGGGGGGGGGGGGGGGGTATGTTGGAAGGGGGAAATAAGAAGAGGAAAAAGGGGCAGTTGATGGAAGTTTAAACGACTCCTTTTTGCCAAGCCACACATCTATCTATCTATCTAATCTTATCTTTCTACCCGTCTGTCCATCCATCCATCCATCCATCCATCCATCCATCCATCCATCCATCCATCCATCCATCCATCCATCCATCCATCTATCTATCTTACCATTGGAAGTGGGATTGGTGGTGCATTTGAAGCAGTGACCCCCCCCCACACACCCCCAGAGCAACCAGTTGAGCAATTGCAGTTTGAAGATTTCGTGGATGGATCGGGCTATAATATATATATATATATGTGTATGTGTGTATATAGTCCTTTTTGTGTGTGTGTGAGAGAGAGAGAGTGTGTGTGTAGGGGCGGTACAACTGTTTCCTGGAGATTTGATTTAAAGGGACCATTCACTCATTCACTCACTTACTCTTGAGAGCTGTGAAGACTTCTTGTGCATCTTTTTACACACCGCAGGGAGTTCAAACGGCAACATCGAAGAAAGAGGGGGGGGGGGGGGGGGGGGGAGGCCAGGCTTGTATATGAACATGTACTCTCTTTTTTTTTAAAAAAAGGAAAAAAAAAGACTGAATTGAATTGAACGTGATCGTTGTACTGTTTTAATCGTGTGTTTGTATTATGCCAATAAGACTGTTGCTTTGTATAAAGAAAAAAAAACTCACAATACCTCCTTACCACCTAAATAACACAGGCAGCGTAGACCTCAGTGTATAGAAATGTTTTTTTTTGATACGTACAGACCTCAAGACTTTTTAAAAGAAGAAAGAAAACTAAAATATTTTCACTTGTATTTTTCTACAGCTAAAAGGGAACCTTCTTGCTGTGATTGTCCAGAGCGAGAATTTCTGGCACTTCTTTTTGTTATAATTTTTTTTCTCTCTCTCTCTCTCCCTCCCTCTCTTTCTCTCTCATTTTCTTCCCCTTTATTTTCTTCCTCCTGTTTTAGCATGCAAAACATTGGCATGATCTGCCTGCAGGATTTACAATTTGAAAAGCAAACGAAAGACTTGCATCGATGCCTTGTGATTTTAAATCTGCAAGTGCTCGAGGTTTTTTTTTTGTACAGTTGTAGAGTTAGATTTATTGAATATTTGTAGGTAAGAAATTTATTGACGGAAAAAAAAGACGTGAGATAGAATTTCAGAGTCGTTATCTTAGTGAGACTATATGTACTGTATTATATACCGTAGGAAGTTTATGTATAATCATACGCTGTGATATGTGGATCAGTCCCGATGACAGGTGTGAAACTAGATCATTAACATGGCACATGTGAAATTTATTCATTTTTGTGCAATATGAAATACAGACCATCTGCACATTTTTTTTGTAGCAAACTTATGAACTAAAGCAGACGCGTGCACTGTAATCATTGCCTGTCTTCATGCTAGAGTCTGTAACTTGGGGGGAGGGAAATAAAATCAGCTGGAACTGATAGAAACCGAAGCATTGAGATGCATTTATACAGAACATTAAAACGACTCTTTAAATTCCAGATTTCTGAAAAAGTTTTAATCTACTGTGCAAATTTACCCACGAAAGATGGCAATAAACCTGGCATCAATGACTAAGTCTGTTACTCGTACTTTGTCACTGAGGAGCATGTTTACCTGTGGTTTGGAAGGTTCATTTGGTTTGGGCAAACAAAATGACATTGTCCCTTTAAATTCAAATCCTCATTTGAGGCACCCGCTTTAACATGAATGGACAGAGCATCATTCAACAGATTTTCTGTCAGCAGGACTCCAGAGGCCCACAAACAGGGAGCAGAGAGCCACATAACCTGAATAAATCCTGCAATTTCACTTGTATTTGCATGATCATATCTGCACTTTATATACACAGTGGTGTGTGTGTATATATATGTAGTACATAACACAGCTGGTTGTCTCAGGCAAGTGGGTGCAGCCTTTACTGTTTGAGCTCAGAGAGATGTTAAGATGCATGTTTCAAAGAGCTGGGTTTTATGCCACTTTCTTATTCGCCAGCAGTTTGGTAAAAAGACTATGTTTCACTCTTGCCTGTTGTCCAGAAAAAAAGGTTTCCACAGGCGTTTCACCTTTACCATTTGTGTACAACCATTAAGCAAAGCAAATGTTAAATTTGCGTATCAAATTTATGGATGAATCCTCAGAAATGTTTTCCTATATTAAAAAAAATGAGATGTTTTGACATAGTTTGTTTTTGAAGATTGAGATAAAAGAATGCAAATCATTGTTACAGCCAATTTTATTGGATTATCCCAAGCAAGGAAGTTGGTGGCATTAGACAGCATTAGGATTTCAGTGGTAGGTAATGTACATTTTGACATTAAGTCTACTCTTGTTTTGAAAGATGGGATCATCCACACTAAAGTTATAGAATTTATAGAAATTTCTTGAAACTTGAATCCTAGTGAGAGAAAGAATGTTGGAGCTATATAATACTCAGGCGCTGGGTAAGTCACACATCTGTCATTGGTGTTGTGTACAAATTGAGACAATAAATTAGTGTATACTTAATATATTAACATGCAATGGCTGAACTATAATTTTTCAAATAATGAATTCATACCATATTCAGGACAACTTGTTAGAAATTACAAGAGCGAACTGGGTTAAACTGTCGAGAAATTAATTTAATTCTCCCAGACGTTATTCTACGCCATAAATGCAAGATGTTGTTATTGTGCACCTACGGACAATATTCTCAGATGTGGTAAAGGAGAAAGGAACCTATTCTGTGGATGTCTGCTTCACAGACTTATTTCCGTGTTTCCCTTTTTCCCACAGATCATCTGGCTAAGAATGGCATAACCTTCCCTCTAGAGGAAACCTAATGCATTTGAGTGTTGAGATTCAAATTCCATCCTCTCAGTCAATACTCAGCCTAGTTGAGTATTGTGGCTGCTGAGAAACTTGTATTAAATGACCTTTTTAAAAATAATCTGGGTGGGATAATGGATTAATTCAGCCCTTTTCTCTCAGGGACCAGTCTGAATGAAACCCAGCCTGACAGAAATCTTATCTATTGTCTGTAAGAGCCTTGTATCAAATGAGACTGGGAGAGTCTCAATCGAGTTCCCAATGAACGTGAATCCACAGCACAAAATTGTCGATAATACAAAAGAAAACATTAAATTGTAAATCTCACACCAAAAGGTCATGAGGATGTCTGATGTAGAAAATGAAGATTCACACTTGTAAAGTATAGGGTGCTCCACTGAGTTCAATATTAAAGGAACGATTGCAAAACCATAGTTGTGACATTTTATCTGAACTTGTGGACAAGATGATGTGAAAGTTTTTTGTTGTAAAACTACATCTAAATGTACCTTTTAGTAAATTATATTTTGGGTGTTGCAATGTCTGCTCTGTTTAGTGAGGTACAGTCAATCCCCACTTCCTGCACTGAAATATTCTGTGAAGCACTTGGAGACGTCTCAACAACACGATAAAGTGCTTTATTAAATGTAAGGATTACTAGTATTATTATCCAGATTCCCACCATGAATGTAACCATCTCTGACACTGGTACCCAGCCTCCTAATATGCAATTTTATTTCAGATTATTATTCAATAATAATCCCTCCAATACAATAATAAATTGGTCATTTTCAATCCATGACTGTTTGTGGGACACTTGTGCGCAATTGGCTGCCACGTTTCGCCCACAAATATTGATTCACTACAGGATATTCTGTAAAGCGCTTTGAGACGTCTAGAAGATGTGAAAAGCGCTATATCAAATCCAAGGGTTATTATTCAGTTGTGTTGATTTCTAAGTAGGCATTATTTTTAGTTAGTCATAAATTATCTCCATTAATATAAATAACTTGTTGAGTTACATCTGTTTTTTGGAGTATTTTTCTTCAAGACACATTGTTGGTACAATGGAGCTTTGATCATGTACTGATGGGACTATTGATGATAAAACCAGAAAAAGGTACCCCTATATGCTGCAGTGTAAAACAGAGAAATGTCCTGCAATATGGTAGTCAAATGTCTATTCCAGCAGTTCACTTTTAATGATGGGACAAATATAACAACTTCAAGAAAATTACTTCAATTTACCAAGAAAAAAACAACGTGCATATGTGGAGTCCTGTAGCTCAGTGGTTAGAGCACTCGCTTTGCAAGCGAGAGACCTGAGTTCAATTCCAGGCAGAGGGCGAAACCTTGGGCAAGTTTCCTTACTCCACACGCCTAATAATAATCCCTCCAAAACCAAAAACAAGAATAAATTGGTCATTTTCAATCTACGACTGTTTGTGGGACATTG